AGTTCCACTGACTAGCCCTACCTATCCAGGGATTTCCTTTACCCCTGTAGTGCCTTACTCATAAATGTGAATGTTCACCTAGGATCACTACACATTTAGAGAAAATTTTCAACACAAAAGAGACCAAAACAAACACATAGGAAGGAGTTCCGAGAATCACAATTATATATAGGGAACAGAAAAAAAAACCTTTGGTGAAAAATGGAATAATATCCTTATATACAGTTGTGGCCATCCAGTAAGAACAGTATAATGCAAAAAAAGAATCAAAATAGCTCTTAAAAATTAAACATCACAGCAGAAATTTAAAAATTACTTGAAAGGGTTTAGAAGATAGAGCTGATGAAATCTTGAAAACTCAAGGGTTAAGTGAATGAGGGAGTTGATATATAAGGTCTGCAACTGTCGAATTCCAGGAAAAAGAGAACAGAGAAATTGGAGGCTAGGAAATAAAGAATATAGGAAAACTTTGCAGAGCTGTAAGACATGAATTTCTGGAGTGAAGAGAGCTCACTGAATACATAGCAAATGAAGAGCAGAGATCTCACATTAAGGCACAATGTAATGAAATAATGGAAGGTCGAGGATAAAGAGAAGATTTTAATGCTTCTGGAGAAAAACAGATCATTTACAAAGTCTCAGACTTAAAATATCATCATTTCTCATTAACAGTACTGGAAGCTGGAAGACAGTGGAGTGAAGCAATACCTTTACAATAGCTAGGGAAATAATTTCCAACTCAGAATTTGTTTCCAGCTGAACTGTCAGTCAGGTGTGAACATAGGTTGAAGATATCTTCAGACAGGTGGTCCCCAAAATATGACCTGTCACATAACTATTCTCTGGAATCATTATCATCCTAGCTAACATTTAACATAGTACTTAACTGTGTGCTTCACATCAGCATATTGGAGCAACAATGAGAGGTTGATAGTATGATTTCTGTTTTACAAGTGGAGAAACTGAAGCATAGAGAAGTGAATTCCCAAGGTCACATGGCTGGTGGTGGGATTGGAATTTGACCCTGGGTAGTCTTTATTGGGTTTTATTACTTGGACTTGAGGATGTGCTCCACCAAAATAAGGGAAACAGAAAAGATTCAGTAAACAAGCAAGGCAGAAGAAACTCCCAGGTGAGGTGAGAGGCTGCTCTGGCATGGTGGCAGGATGAGGAGGTCTGGAATCCAAGCGATCCAGACTGGAACTGACAGAGGGCCCCAGGAAAAAAATGGAACAGATATTACCTGGTATGTCTGGTCATATTGAGAGTAGTCTCACTGTTGGAGAATTAATTGGTGATGTCACATAGACAACCAAAAGATGGGAAAAACATGTATGAAAGGAGATGCCGTTGTGTACACCATGAGGCTCTGCTTTGAACACTGTGTAGACATGTAGTAAATCCTCAATATTGTATTCACTAAGAATGTGGGTAGAGAAAGTACACTTAGGTGTGTGTGCATATGTGGGGCCTATGGACATGGTACAGGTGGATAAAATCCTCAGCTTTCATAGGAGGAAGTCAGGAGATACTGAGGCAGGAAAAATCAAGCCCTGTCAGTATAGCATTTATATATGTGGCAGTAAATACCAGAGGAAACACTTGAGAGATCTGAAGTGGTTGTCCCTGGGGTGCTAAAATCTGGAATTGGAAAGGGTGAGGCAGAGGACTGCTATTTGCTGTAATAACTATGTGATTTTTAAATAATAATATGCATATAAATATGGCATTGTTTGAATTTTCTCTTTCTGTCCCAGCCCATATCCTGTCTGTCAGCAAACCTTGATAGTTCTGTATTCAAAGCATATCTGGAATCTGATCCCTTTTACCATCTCCACTGCTGCCATCTGAGTCTAGCTGCCAACCTCTCTCACCTGGATTATTGCAGTGTCTCTGCTCTGGTCTCTGAGCTTCTTCTGTTCTTGCCCCACTTCAGTTCGGTATCTACACAGCACCCAGAGAGTCAGTTACAATGCAAACCAGAGTATGATGCTGTCTTGCTCAAAAACCCGAGGTGGTTGGTTCCCTGGGTCACTTGGATAGTCAGCATCTGGTTGTTCCCCACATCCACACACACCTCTTCCCTGATTAATTTTTCTCCGTCACACTTATCATCTGTCACCTGACATATTTGGTGTTTTACATACTCATTCTGTTTCTTGTCTGTTTTATATATTTTGTTTCCTGTTTTCTCTTTTTGAAATATTATCTCAGGAAGGGGATTTTTTTCTGTTCTCCATTGTATTCCTAGAACCTAGAACAGTGCTTGGCATGTAGTAGCACTGAATAAAGATTTATTAAATAAATGTATTGCTTTTATAAAGGTAAAAATTATGTTTAAAAAACCACCAGATATTAATAAGCAGGTTGCAGTATGATAAGCTAAGCAGCTAATTGTTTTACTGGTTTCAGCACCTGCAAGCAGTTTGAAACTGAAATCCTGAGGGATCTAAATGAAAAGACTTGTTTCTATTTGGAAAATAACCAAATGCTGTCCTGAGGTTGCTGACTGAAGTTATTTGTATTTCATCAAGATGTTGTCTTTCTTAGCTTTGTCTCTCTTCTCACCTATTCCTTCAGGAAACTTTAGATGCCAAATTAGTGATATCACATATACTTCCATGGCTATAGATCACAATTAGTCATACAAATGATAAGAATTCACAGCAGGAAAAGCTGGACTGTGAGAAGGAATGATCTTTATCATAAAACAAATACCTGATTAGTGCAGGGATCAACCACCAAAAAATGAAGAGCAAAGCAAATTACACACAGTCATTCTTTGCAGTACTTGCAAAAGTCTTTCTTGGAAACCAGCCAGAAGCCTCCTCCACACTTCTAATTCTTAAATTGCACAATATGGTCACTCTTTGAATCCACAAAAGACTTTAAGTAGAATGTTTAAAAGTCATGTTTCTCTGATGGTACGTCTGTTAGATATTAGCTCAGTTCGTATTTGTGCTTGTGTACTTTACTGTGGGACCAAAGAAACTTTGCAGGGATTTTTGTGGTGGCAGTTTGCTTTTTTATGACTTGGTGATTTCACAGAGCTTGAGTTGTTTGAAAACTTAGGTAATTACACAAGAAGAGTTGATGCTTGATGGTGTTTGAGGCACCTGTTACATCAGCATACATGTTGAGGTGTTTTTTTACCCTCTCTGACTTCCAGATGTGCTGCTCTTTTGTTGTTGCATTTTATATTACATCCACATGTTTTGTTTTTCTCATTAGGTCCTGAAGCTCTTTTTTGTTTCAAGAGATATTATATCATTTTGAGGAAAAATAATGAATTTGGGGAGAATGCTAGTTAAGTATCAGGCCCTGTGCTGTGTGCACTTTTGTATTCACTGTCTAATCTGCACCTGAAGATAGTCAACCTTTGGCCTGTGATAGAATTTTGTTGTTCTTGCTGTGATAAGGCGGTTTTAAATTTTTGTGAATACTTAAAATAGTGTATGCCCACAATTGCTTTAGGGGTTCTTAAAATTAGTATGCTACTGTTTGTAGTGGTGGTGGTTGTTTTTAATAACTATAACTAATCAGTACTGGTAAAGATACATAGACTTCAATAAAACGTTTGACAAAGTCTTTCCTTGTAAACATGGAAATTTGGAGGCTACAACAAATTTGGAAGATACAACAGTTAACAAGGTTTATTATTGGTTGCAAAACTCTTCCCATGTTTGTTCTAGAGAGGTCTATAGTTGCATGTTGCAGGTTTCTGCTCATGTCCCTGGCCTGTTTGTGAATTTGGGTAATACCTTAAGAGTTATGTTTGCTCAGTGGTGGATGAGAAAGCTGAGGAATAACTAAAAAGAGAGTGCCAACCAAGGATTTGAGAAGATCACGGACTGAAGGATGAGTTAAGAGACAATTAATTTTAGTGGTGATAATTCTTGTTTGTTTAAAAAATCAGTGTAGCCTTACAGGCTGACTAAGAACTGTCCAAGTTGCAGAAGAGATGGAAAGTACTTGGAGTCTGGGAGATTCTGGGACTTAGTGTGTATTGTTGTAGTTGTCTTAAAAGAACTGAGAGCTGTGATAATAGATGTCCCATGCACAGTACTTCTCAATTCTGTAAGATTGACCAGTTTCCTTTTGGCATGTTGTACTCTGTTTTTATGATCACATTACCATGTTTTTATTATGTAATATTTGGCATATACTAAGAAGTACTTTTAAGTTGTGAATTGTAAACAATAAAACAAGTCTTTAAAGGCCTTATTCTTAGCTTAAGAACTAGAACATTCTGAAGATGATTGAATCTGTATTTTCCTTCCTACCTCATTATCTGGAATTTGTCTATCATTTCCTTGCTTTTTCTGAAGTAATTCTACCATGTTCCGTAAGCATTTCTAAGGAATACATTGTGTTTTAACTTGTTTTTCAAGTTCACTATATTACGTTACATTGTATGTAGGTAGCCTTTTTCCATTTGCTTTTCACATTCAATATTGTTTCTAAGATTCATGTGTATTAGTTCTTCTCAACTAGAGTTCCTCATGTGGACCTTAGAACACATGATTTGAGTGGGCATTTTCTCAGTTCTCCCACAGATGGTACATATGTAGCGCACTTTTAAATGGGCAGGAGAGCTGCTGTCTCATTACGTACAATATAGGCCGGCAACTCGGGCTTAATGCTCTATTGGAACCTGGTGTAAAAGGCTGAGTTGTTACATTCAGCTCTAGTTAATTCATTTTTCCTGCTATAAAATGATCCATTTGTCAGCATACTAAGCTTATTCATATATTCTCCTGTAATGGTCATTTGGTTTGTTTCCAGTACTTTTGTTTTATTGTGAACAATTCTGCCATGACTGTCTTGTGTTATCTCTGGGTGTACATGAATGAATGTTTCTCTAAGTAGACATCTGAGTGGTATTGCTCAGGACTGATGCATTTTAGTGGAGACGTGGGTGAACTGGAGTGAGTGTGGAAGGACAGTTAGGAAGAGGGCAACCATATCATAACCAACCTTTATTTTCTTCTTTTTTTTAGGGATTGAAGAGGTTAATGACCATTTGCCAGAAGCACTTCCCTACAGATCCATCAAAATGTGTGGAGTACAATGCACTATGAGCTGTATAGGATGTGTTAATTAACAGTAGGAAACTGTCGGGAACATGGTACCTGGGAACATACTTCTGGAATTACCAGCAGGAATGAGGGGAGAAGAAAACAGAGTTCCTAGTCTCTGAGTTCTACCTAATGTAACTCTTGTTTTTAAGAACTGTGTTGGCTGTCATATCACATCTGATTGCAAACTGTTTTTGTGTCTTGCTTTTATTTTAAATAGGTGAAAAATTAAGTTATAAAGAGTTTTCTAAGTTCAGATGACAGTTACAGAAGGGGGTTTAAGATGATTTTTCCCTGAAGACCTGGAAGTTGCAGTTAGATGATTATAAAGGAACATTTGAGGATGGACTTAATTATTTCTGTAAATATGGTAATTTTCCCATTGCCTTTTATGTAGTGTTTATAAAAAATATTTTTATATATTTCAACAAAAATGTGGAACTATTTATGAAGTTTTATATCCTTAAATGTTGCTGAACCTTTACAATCTTGAAGTAGAATGTGAGTGCAAATGATACTGCTGTTACCTCAGGTGTTATTTTTCTTGCATTTCAAGAAGCATTCCTGCTTTTATCTTCTAAGGATTGTAAATTTTAGTGTTTGTCATCTCTCAGGACAGGTAGAATTAACAGAAAATAGAAGTTTAGAAAACAAAGATGGTGTATTATGCCAACAGAAGTTCAAAATAGGTAGCCCCAGTGCTTCGAGGTTGGAGGTGAAAATGGATTTATTGTCAGCCAATCAAGAATGGGGCTGTTTTGCTGGTACTGGGTCTTCCCAGAATAAGCCTGCCTGCGAGTTTTCCCCTCGCGAGGACTGTGGTGGACTGTGGTCCCGGCTGCATCTGGCCGGGCAGAAGAGTGCTCTTGTCATGCCTGGGACAGGGGGTCCTGGGGCTGCTGTTCCACCACCGAGGACTTCTTCTGAATCTCGGTGTCTTATCCAGATAATTGTGATGAACTGCTCTGCTTTAGAAGTTGAGAGGACTCAGTTAATGGAGGAAGGTGGGTAAACAGAATGTTACCTGACAGGTGGTGTGCTGGTATCTGATAGCAGTGGGAGGGGGGCTCCAGAGTCAGAACTTCCTAGCTTCAGATTTCAGCTCTCAACCCACTAACTGTGACTGTGGAAAAGTAACTTGATCTTCCCTAAGCCTCAGTTTCCTTACCTGCCAATAGTCGTTAGTAATAGTAGCACATACCTCATAGCGTTATTGTTGTGTTTAAGTAAAATAAAATGCTTAGCACAATACCTGGCAAATAGTAAGAGCTCGGTAATTATTAGTTGTTGTGTCCTGTTGTTCTCCTTATTAGAGTGTAGCCAAAGTCACTTTTAGGAATCCTGTGGTTGGGGCAGTGTGTCCTCACACAGTGGGCACAGGGCACACACAGTAACAGTGGTTCCCAAAATAGGAGAAGTAGAAACGCTTATTAAGCATTTATTGTAGCCAGGCGCACTATAGCTGTTCACACTTTCACCCAGTTCTGAGTTTAGAAGGGTAGAGAATGTGGTGGGAGTGAGTCAGCTGAGGAGGTGGATGCTGACTCACACTCACTCTTCTGGCCCCTCTTGGAAAGGCTTGAAAACCAGTTTTGGTCACTTGTGGTCTGTGGCTGTACTCATCTGGTTGTTTCTGCTGGTTTTGTGCATGATGGTGGCTGAAGTCTGCTGTCCTGAATTGAGTCAGGGTTCCTCTCTCCCCACTTTGGAAACCATTTCTTTTTAGATTAGTTAGAGTTTAGGGGGAAAGCTTACTAGGGCACATGAGAGACAGACTTTCATGAGATGTGATAACAATCTAGACTTTTGCTATGCCTTGTGTAGTACTTGTTTATAAATATTGTTGAATAGGCCACAGCATGGCAGTCAGTTTTATGGTGTCTTTCCATTTGCTGTTAATACTCCACATAAAGAAAAATCTGTACCCTGGGACCCCAGTCACCTAAAATCGATCAGTATGGACAGATGGTTTAAAGAGAGACTGTGACATGTTCTACAGTGCAGTGAAGGTTAAACATTTTGGGCTTGGGTAGAAAGAGGTAGGTTTAAAGATGTAGACCTTCTCATAGAACAGTTTTCCTTTTCCCTGAGATTAAAGCTCTTGCAGTGACTGTAAGTAATCGTGTGGATATATAGAAAAATGACCTCTTGTGTTCTTCAGATCATAAAAATTTTAGTTCAGCAGATAGTACATATTTCTGTGTTTAGCTATTTTTGAAACAATAAAGGCTTATCTTTTCAAATCATTCACAATCCTGAAATCACTAATCTTCCCTTTATTCATCCCCATCTGCCCAGGCATCTAACAAGAGGAGTTGTCTTTCTGGACTCAAATGTAGTGGTGTTCCCTCCAAAGTAAATGCCGCACTTGTAGGAGTGTTCCTGCAGCTGTGGAGACTGAGCGGTACTTTGCAGCCTTGTGACACAGCCGTGGCAATCTGGAAGCCACAGCGGTTTTGGGGGAAAATTGGGAAATAAAGCTGATGCTGTATAGGGAGAGGGAGAGAGGATCGGGCTGGTGGGATCTGTGGGAAGAAGGGGGAGGTCCTGAGGGGCCAGAGCTAGGAAGGCAGTGTCACTCAGAGTTAGAGCTGAGTGCAAGCTGCATAACCCAGGGTGGGCTGGGATGAGTGGGGCGCAGGCGTGAAGGAGGGCCACCTCCTGATGTGGGCTTCCTCCTCCTGGGGATGTTCTGACCTACTTTCCTTTAGGTTGCCTGGGATTTGACCTCAGTGAATACTTGAGAAATATAGCCATCTTTCTATTGGAAGTCTATTCTGATAGTAAGTAGCTTAGAAAAGAGTAAAAAAAAGTGTTTCAGAGTATTCAGTGAATTTGAATTTGGGGCTCTCTACTGCTGCTCCTTTGCAGCCATATGGTAACCCCTGTAACACTTGTTAACATGGAACTGGGCGGGTGGCTTCAGTGGTGGGGCAGCGGTCAGCTGAGATGTGCTTTGGCCTTGCCTGAGTATTAAAAGAGCACAACTGAGTGGGTTGTCACGCCCCCAGCCCCACCCCTCAGTATATTCTCATGAAGCCTCTGGAAGGATAACTTTATCCCACAGCAGTCACATGGATTGTGGAGCTGTGAAAGCACTTTCTCACAGCGTATTTCTGTAAGTTTCCAGCTGTTCAGCGGGAGCAGCCACCAGTCCTGGAGGGTCGCCATGGGAACACTGTTAAGGCAACTGGCTTTCATAGCAGACTCTGCAGCTACATTGGCTGAATTACAGCCACACACTAGTACTTTAATGGTTAGCAGTTACCTTAAAATCTTTTGAAATTTCAAAGTAACTCTGGTGATACCGAGTAGCTAGGAGAAATGCAGTTGGTTAGCAGCAGCGGCTATGGTGTGAGCTGGCCCCATTCAGGATTTTGGAACCACACTCATTTAAAAAAAAAGTTTTTATGTTTACTAGAACAGTTTATTATGAAAGCATTTGATGACTGACTTGTTTTTCCCACTGTAAACTCTGTGGTAGTTTATACAACTTGCTTAAACTAGTCCTTGTGTTGCCAACAGTGGTTACTCTGTTTAACAAGGCTATTTCCTTTTGTTTAGTTTCTCCTTCCTGTCTTTAGGCACCAGCTTGGAAGTGATTGCCAGCCTTCTCAGCTCTTTCTTACAACGTTCAACTTGAACGCGTACTTCCGTGGAGAGCGGTTAAGAAGGTTTGAGTATTGTTGGTGATTCTACATCCACTCACCGAGCTTCCCCCAACGCCAGCAAGAGCCGCTGGCACAGTCAGCTCTCCTTGCCTTTCTGAACTCCCAGTATTACAACTTGCCAAAACCAAACTGCCTTTTTTCTCAAACCTGCTCTTCCTTAAATAATTAGGAGAAATTATGAACCATTAGTATTGTAGTCTGAGCCCGGCTTAGAGTTTCTGCCATCCTGTGAAGTAGGGGAGCTAAAGCTGTAGCTTTCAAAACTTTTGGACTAGGACTCACAGTAAACACTAACAAATACGGGGAGACCCAGGATTCCATACACGCATGTAGAACTGAAACAAAAGCACTTAACATACTTCTGTGTTGAGTTTCTTTTTACATTATGCTGGTGGTGACTCTCTAAACTGGTTTACACCCCATAATGCATCATGACCATCAGTTTGAAAACTGCCGATTAGAAGGAATTACCAGAGGAGAAGACCTGGTAGATGAATTCAGGGCAAGAGTACCCCCTTTTTATTTTTTAAATACAAAGATAGAGAACACTGCGCTCTCAGGCTTAGTGTGAAATTTAGCAGATTATAAAACTTTTGAGTACTTCAAATGCTAAATACTTCTGAAATGATAATTACTAGCTTTCCAGAGACTTCATTTGAAACCAAGACCCGCAGTTTGTAAGCCAGCTGTAAGAACACTGGCAGCATGGATAGGTGACTTTTGGCTGGCTGTAAATTGTGTAAAGGAACATTAAACAGGTGTGGTAAATGAGAGGTCAGTGAAAGGATGAGAGGGTTTTGAGGCAGAGAAAGATGTAAGGAGTCCAGTGTTAATGGATCAGTGTCTTTTGAGCCCTTGGAGGTTATTTCCCAAGACTGTACAGTTAGCGTACATTTTTAATTGAAGTAAAACCTGTGTAGAGAAAAATGTACAGATCCGAAGAGTATCATATAATGATGAAGTTTTCAAAGTGAACACATCTCTAAGTAACAGCCACTGAGGCAGGAAAGGGAGTATTACTGGTGCCCCTGGTGTCTCTTCATGCCCCTCCTGGTCACAACCATAGTCCTGATTTCTAACATCATTTTTAAGGAAACACCTTCATTGATATGTAATGCATGTGGCACAAAATCCACCCATTTGTCATAGGGTCCTAGAATAGTCACAGAGTGGTGTACCTATCACCATAGCCAAAGTTCAGAGCATAACATCATCTCCCAAAAGACCACCCAAAATAGTCACTCCCACATAGGTTAGTTTTGCCTGTTTTTTAGTTTGCTTGTTCATAAATGGAGTCAAACAGTTTTCCTACCCTCTGTTAGGCTTGACTTCTTTCAGTTTCCGATACCATCCTGTGGTGTGTGGTTGTGGTACATTCATTCTCATTGCTGTAGCTCACAGTTGAGATTTGCATTACAAATCCATTCTGTTAATAGGTATTTGACTCATTCCCAGTTTTTGTGTGAATGTTGTGTTTGTGTGTTTTGGTGAATATAAATTTCTGTACAGGGTATACCACGGTGTGAAGTTTCTGGGACCTAGGCTGTGCATGCACTCAGCTGTGGAAGGTACCGTCAAGAGTTTTCCAAAGGGCTGGTACTGTTTTGGGATTTGAGAGTTCAGGACTCCACATCATGGCCACACTTGATAAGTCCTCTGTCATTTTCACTTAGTCCTGGTGGGTTATCGCTGTGGTTTTAATTTGCACTTTCCTTTTGACAAAGCTGAGCCCCCTTTTTATGTGCATCCTGACCATTTGTATGTTATTTTTTTTCTGTCCATTTTTTCCCATTGCATTTCCTGCCTTTTCCTTACTGTTTTATAGTTCTGTTTGTATTTTGGCTATGAGTCCTTTGTTAAATATGTACAGTACAAATATTTCTCCCATGCTATGGCTTGCCTTTGTGCTAGGTTTTCTTTATGCAAAAAGGAAATCATCTCATAACTAGCTCAGATATTGGCACAACCTTTGCCATGTCTTTGCCAGATAGATTTTATAAAAATCAAATCATATGTCAATCTTAAATGTGATTTTTTTTCTCCTGCTTAATGATGTTATCATAATGGCATGCCTAAGAGTATAGGATTTGAGAGAAGAAATCGTGCTTTTGTATTTCTGTTAAACTTCCAGTTTTATTAGGGTCTTTTTTATTTAAGAGTTGACTCTTCTATTTTTATTCTTTTGGAGTGCAGTTTATATGCCATACGTGTGTAGTGTGGATGCTGCCAGTTTATCCATATTTTCATTCTCCATGCCCTCTGTGCTGACAGAACCCTAATTTGTTCAGAGCTGCAAAGTGCACAGTTAGAACTGCATGCTCTTCTAGGACCCTTTGAAGGTAGGATTAGGTATGTGACTGCCAACACCTGTGGATGGCAGCCTGTTGGCTGGGATTTCAGGAAAGCTATGCTTTTCTAGAGAAAGAGACTTAGCTGACAGACCTATGTGGACCTTCTCTGTTCTTTCCTGGAAAGTGGTCATGATGCTTAGATGCTCTGCAGCCCTCCTGCAGTCTTGATGATGAGAGACACATCCTAAAGATGTCAGAGTCACTTCTTTGATGGTATCTTGGAGTCATTGCACCAACCTTGAACTGTTTTATTAGTCATCGTTATCCAGAGAAACAGCCAATAGGAGATGGAGATACATACATTTCACCAGTTTGGAAAAAGGTGTCTTGACATGTTATTATTGCCCTTCCTTCTAAGACAGTGACTCACATTTACACTAACATGGGCCAGAAGGTGCGTGTGTTTTTTTATCCTTTCTAAAATCTTTTTTTCATTGAAAAACTGAGAATTGGTGCATCCTCTGTATTAGAGCAGTACATTTTAGAAGTCACCATCTGATTTTTGAGCTTTTTAGTTGGTCTGTTGACTAGGCACTTGTGGTGAGCTGTTGAGCAGGCGCAGCTTAGGCCACCTCGGACAGAGTGCTGGCTGGAAGCTTCTGCATCTCCCCCTGCACCTTCCACACACCGTTTCAGGGTCAGGGCTCTGCAGACCACACTTCTTTGCTGGCTGGCTTTTCCATAGGGGCCACTGATGGTGAGAGACTGGAAGCCGGAGGGAAGGAGGAATCTGCCCCCTCTGTTGCCTCAGTTCCCAGCAGTGGGGGCGCTGATAGTCACCTCGGGATGGAGGAGCTGTGACAGCGGGCAGGTCCCACACTTGACCAGCCAGCTATGCCTGCCGTGGCTGCTCGGTCTGTAGAGGTGGGGAGCAAGCCTGTGGGTCCTGCCGAGCTCCTGCCTGCTGCTGCTGCGGCGTCCACTTGGTGGTTTGCCACCCAGCTCTGTGGGCACCTGCTGAACTGCTGGGAGTTGGTGATCCCCACCTTTGCTTCCCTGGTCTACAAGGGGGCTGCTTCCTGTGCTTGTCACCTTTGTAGCTTAGCATTCCCTTTGTGCCTTCACTTCTTCTGTCTGGTTAACAGCCCTTCATGTGAAGCACTCATAGAGTAATGGGAGATGATGGGGGGTCCTTGCCCTCCTGACCCCACAGGAGGCTGTTGAGTCCAGCACCTGAGCATGGGGTCGCCTTCATTCTAGCCCCTTGAGCCCGATCAGCACCTCCCTGGTTTGGTTTTCTCTCTCGTCCCTCTGGACCCCATTGCAGTCGCTTTGGTTGCCTTCCCCAGGTCCTTCGGCTCTCCTCCCTTGTCCCTCTGGCGCAGCACACTAGGGAAGCAGGCCTGGATGTTTCCTCAGACCTGGGCCTGGCCAGTCGGTACCGCGCAGGGCAGGCAGTGCTCAGGTCCGCGACCCATGACGCCTGTCTGTGGCTCCTCTGAGCTGTGACCCTGGCTCTGCCTGCCCTTGACCTGTGCGCTCCTTTCCCAGTGGTCTTATGTAGCTTTCTCACACCAGGTGGAACACGGAGGCAAGCTCAAAGTCTTTTCCTACCTCCACACTTAGAGCAACTTTTCTTACCTCACCTGGGGGAAAGGTGTTCCCCCTCCTGGCACTGGCTGATCTGCCACTGGCTGCCCCTGCTTTCTTACCTCTTAATGTGTTAATGTGATTTACTTTTTACTCTCCCTCCCTCCACCTCCCACCATAATGTAAATCTGAGGGCTGGGGCTTCACGGCTTCACATCCATTTAGCCTGTGGCAGATGTGAGGAGAGAAAGCAGCAGGCAGTCAAGATCGCAAGGTTTGGGGCGGGAGCACTGGTAGGCTGGATTTGCTTGTAAATGAACCAAGGAAGGTCATTACTGGAGTAGGTTTGGAGGGGAAATCAAATACAGTTCTGGACATGCTAGTGGGTTAGACATCCATGGGGAGGTGAGAAGGCAGTGGGATCTGAAGAGGCCAGGGAATGGCGATGAATGTAGGTGTCCTCGGGTGACAAGGAAAGACACAAGGTGAGATGAGAGCCCCAAGAAGAGAGACCGTGGATGGCGTGGAGAAGCCAGCCGAGCCCAGGGACACTCCTGTGCGAAGGCATCAGGGGGCAAAGGAAAACTACCAGGGAGATGGGAGAGAGGAGCCCCGGTGAGCCAGGAGAATGTGGTGTCCAGGGCTTGTGAAGGGTGTTTCAGGGAAGTGCAGGGGATCCACTGTGTGGGTGTGGCTGATAGGCCACATGAGACAAGGACAGAGAATTAATCATTGTATTTGGTTTTGTGGGAGTCATTCTTGACCTTAACAAAGTGGTCTTGATAGAATGGGGGGAATGGTGGTGTGATTGGAGTGGGTTTGATAGAAAATATATGAATGAATGAAAAACAAAAAGAACCCACTAGTTTGTGGGGATAAAATTTTATGGAGAGAAAAATGGGTTTCTGATTGAAACAGTTTTGGTACACTTCCAAATTATAAATATATGGGCCTTATCAATTAATCTGTGTGCTATTTAGGCTCCTGAATGGAGATGGGGATCTCCAGGCCCTTCAGTTCTTGTCTAATCCATATTGACTGTGCAGGGTGGGTACTATGAGGCAGAAAGATTGTATCTCTGCAGGCTCTGTGGCCGTTCCCCTGCCACCTCTGACCAGTCAACTCCTTGGACAAGGTGTCATTGGGGGAGCCTATCTACACACTTGTTGGTCTCTCTCCTTGGGACTCTTAATTTTAATCTTTTATCTGTTTAATGCTGGTGACCTCATTTCTCTGTTATGCTCATGTGTCTGTCTAATTCATGAGCATGGAAGCTTTTGAAGGTCTGGACTCATCACATGCAGTGGGTGACATTGCTGCCTGCCTGCTAGGCCTCAGCAGTTCTCTGACACACCTCTCATTAGGGAGTTTGCCTGTGAATGCTTTTGAATTAGTATTCTGGGAGAAAGGAAGGAAAGGGTGGCTATTTCTAATGCTTTCTGTTGGGATTGTTTCTTATGTAAAGAGTAACTGTCTGGAATTGCCTTGTTGGCAGTGTATCAGGAGTGTGTGTGTATGTGGGGGTAGGTGCTGAAAGGCAGGAAAGAAGTGGAGGAGTCCCATCTTCTGTGTGCCAGTTGCTTACGTATGATAGAGCTTAATGAAGAGATACTGGATTTATTTCCTCAGCTGTGACATATTTACATGTAACAGACTTACAGAAAACCTGTTTGTTTGAAATTAGTGTTGATTGTTTTGAGATATGGAGGCCCTGGTCTTTCCCAGGAAAGGTGTAGGAAGTCCCAAATGCTGTTCTGATGGGCCTGCTTCCAGACATTCCTTGCATTCTCTATGGATTGTTTTCATTTTTGGTAGGGGTTGGCTCACTCTAGTGGCAAATGCTCCATCCAGGGATGTTCCTGGCCACCAGACTAGGTTCCTGCTAGTGAAGAGATGCATGGTGGGTTAGGGTGCCAGGAGCTGGGGATTCTTTGCCACAAAGTCTCTACTAGAGTAAGCCATCTGCCGCTTTCCCTGTAAGTGTGGACTTTTCATACTTGCAAACCCAGCAGGCTGTAGGTGTAGAGGTTGGGTGACGATTTGAGCTGTGGTGTGAGCACAGGATGAACAGCAGTGTTAGCAAAGAGCCTGAGCTCCCTGCTGTCTTCCCTGAGTGGTCCTTTGCATCCTGCATGGAACCAGGGACTACATGGAGACAAGAGGAAAGGGTGACCTCCAAAACCCAGATACCCTCAGCGCTTCTGCCACCGGGGATGTTTTTGTGGGAATAGTACCCATGCCATGCGTGGCACAGGGATAACTCTTTGTAAGGACAGATACAAACACCAAGATAGCATCCCGGCAAAGACTATTCTCTTATCTCAAATCCTTCTTTGTAGTAGGTGGGACACACCACAGAGAATACAGTCTTCGTATACCAACAAAGAGCAATGAGAATAAGAGGGAATTAGCCTCTGCTACACAAAACAAGCTTGTCTACATCACCTATCGAGTGAGAATCTGCCCCCAGTGAGGACAAACACACACAGAAGGATTACAGATTCCTGGAGCATGCTTAAGCATTTGTCAGTTAGAAACAAATCTCCAAGAGGCAACTGAGATCTTTTCATTTTGAAAATGCTTTAATAAGTGTTGACAACACTGTTTTGCAAAATGTAAAGGTACTATACAAATTCTTAATACAAAAAGAATAAATTAAAAGCAGATTTCTTTTTAATTCTGCAGTTTTGTCTACAACATACAGCTTTTTCATTGATTACAGTTGGAACAGAATCCAGTAAAATCATTTTTCATGCTCTACAGTCAGTTTCAGGAGCAACCTCATCCTTTTCCCCCATTAAACTAGAGTCCATTTTACACGACTTGTAATAAACTATTGACATTAATGTGTATGTAACTTTACACCTAGTTAACTAAGCAGTAACTGGTCATCTGATAGCACCTGGATGGGGTTTGCTATATTTAGAGCTAAACTAATACTGCGTGAAAACAAATGGGAATTTTAGCAGTTTCAACACTCATCTGCATATATTAAAATAAAATCCACCTGTCTCACAACATAATCTGATGTAGGTGTTTTCACCAGTCTTCTGGCTAAACAGGCAATTTTCTTACACGTATCCAAAGAAGTCAGTAGGGGCTTTCTATCTAACTAGGGGCTTCATGTTTTAATTTGTTTTAGCGAAACAGGGGTATAGAAAGCTCGCCAGTGATTGTATATGATAATGCCACCGTTTTGCACTGCACTGTCAGTACTCAGGTCGGTCTCAAACGACCAACACTGGGTGTGCGTTCTGTAGCAACAGTGAAGTTAAACAGTAAAACCTGTTTCACTTAATCTCCATCTCTACCACTGGACTATCCTGATGTTTGAGCTATAATTCCCCCTCCATTGCTTTCTGCCCCCCAGATCCAAAACCCAAGTGTTTAGAAAGAATTTTTGTCTCATTCCTTATAACCCAACTGGGCTAAAAAACTTGACCCAATTGAGTTCAGACTTGATTTCAAACTACTGTACACGTTGTATAACCTGCAGCCCTCTGGCCTTGTCACCTTGTTTCCCTTTTGACTTTCCCTGCTGCCCATCGTATCTGTATATCTTCTGGGAGAAAGAAGAATGGGCCAATGTATAATGTTTCCAAATGGGGAAGGGAATAAACCTGCTGTCCTAGCTCTAACCATGAAAGTCAGAGCATGAGAAATACTGCCCCCAGAATCATTTAATAACATTATTACTAGTTTCATTTATCTTGCGGGGTTTACCACTGAAGTGTTCTGTGAATATGAATCCCTTCTTGCAAGCTGCTGTCACCAGTCCTGCTGCTCTGCACGCAGAGTGGGGGACGCCAGGCCTTGTGTTGCCCAGACTGGTTCAGCCCTCAGTGTGTGACCCTCCTGGTGCTTTTCAGGTTGCAGCGAGGGCATTGCCGTGGTGAGTTAGGTCATGGGGTCCAGTCTCACCCTTATGGTCTGGCAGAGTCTATTGTTATCCTTGGATTACATGTACATAAAGATTTTTCTTTTTACACTAAAGCTAACTTCAGTTCTGCTTTTCCATGAAACTACCCCCACCCCAGTTCCTTTCTCTGGCTGTCAAATCCCTTTCCAATAGGAAGTCATTGCAAGTGAGAAAAAAAATCTCCAGGCCCTACTTGTACCACTAAGCATGGCATGCTACCATGTGGAGAGCGCATTTGTGCCATTTTGAATAATCCAACTAAGTGTGTGTGCACTTGTTATTATGAAGGGTTCTGAGGCTTTTGAAGACTGATGGCTTTTTCCAGTTGTGCAAGAAGAAATAGCTCCAACACATATGTCTAAGGCAGCTCCCACCCACCTTCTTGCTGCTGTCCTTCCTCCTCCCTCTTTTGGTGTCTGCAGACAGATGTGGTCCATCATGGGAGCTGGTATTTTTTTTCAACCCTGCTCTGCCTGCTAGCCAGTAGACCTGTGAGTAAAATCTTTCTACCTAAGGGCATACTTGGGTTTTCTGAGTAAGTGACACATTAGTAACCAGAAGTTGGGTCTGAGGCTCTTGGTCACACAAGTGCTAACAAACATAAAATGAGCCACAACAGTTAAACACTTGAATGGATTGCAGTGTGCTTTTCCCTTGGTTTCCCATAAAAAAATAAAATGAAACACTCTGTGCAAAAAAAACAGTATACACTTTTACTGGTCGTTTAATGGGAGAGTAACACCTGGCAATCATCACCTTAAGTTTCCTAAAAATTCCAACAGGAAAGCAGCTTTGTGCAGTGGGCTTGACTGCAGAGCTGAGCTAGCAGGACGCTCACCACTCCCCGTCCGTTCGGTGTGTCCAGGCCCACAGAGAGCCAAGGCAGCTCTGCCAGCCACCACTCCCGACTTCATCGCACTGGGTGAGTTTCTCTGTGGGATGGCAAGGGAGAGGGATGAAGAGGGGAAATGATTTACAAATGGTTGACTTTGACTTGTGGTATGTAGGAGCAGTTTAGAATTCAAGAGATCTCATTGCAGAAAAAATGTCTTCCTCTTGGCCCCTCTTTATTTTTTTTTGTGTTTTATTTTTACATTTTTAAATCTTTGGCAGCATAGAACTGATTGTGATCCTCTGATCATCTCTGATGGGGTAAGCTTCCTTTTTCATTCTCTCCCTCCCTGAACAGCCCCCCAGGGACCAGTTCAGGTGGCAACTGAATATTCCCACCCATGTGTCCTCTCCACAAAGGGCTTGATGGGCCTGCAGGTGGCAGGCTGGCCAATGCTTCATAGTCTTTCCAGATCACCCTGTACTTGAGTTCCCTTTCCTGTCTTCTACCAGCGCCACTTGTCCACAGGAATTTGATGCTGGTCAGCTTCCCTGATGGTTCCTGGCCGGGGCTGTCCTGGCAGGGAGAAGCCACCGAGGTGCCATTGAGGATTGGTGCCTAGCTCTCTCTGGGCATGAGAGCCAGGGATCACACAGTGGGACCGGAACCTTCTAGAATGTCTCCTCAGTCAGGTTTTTGAGGGTAAGGGGATGTGGAGACGGGAGAAAAGTGCTGAGGGCTGAAGCTGGTGCAGGGTGACAGTGCGTCTTGGGTAAGGCAAATGAGAGGCAGTGAGGTGATCTCAGAATGGCATTGAGGCCGGCTGGCTCACACGAGGGTCCCGGGCTTGGCTTTTTCCTGCCCGTACCACTGGACGTCGGCTAGTTCTGGGTAGAGGGAGGAATCCAGGAAACAGCTATCACTGTAGCTCCTGCAGGGAATCCAAGGAGATGAGATGGTTAGTGGAGAATGACCCTATCAACCTGTGTTCAGGAGTCCATATTGGTCTATAGCTGGTTGATGTAGATCGTTAAGTTTCCCCTGTTGATGAGGAACTGGGCCTAGTTGGGTGCTGTGGATACAGAACGCTCTCCTGGACTGAAAAAATCCACGCCCAGGGGTCTTTACCCTTGAGCCCTGGGGAGGAGGAGAAGGGAGCTGGCACTCAGGCGGTGCTTCTCAGGCTTGGCTGGACCCCTGGGAAGTCCCCCAAATACTCATGTGTCTGGCATGTGTGTGAGAATTGGCAGCTTTGGGAGCCCCCTACAGGGTCTCCGTGCAGCCAGGGCTCCCTTGGGCTGGGTTCCTCAGGGGCCTTGTTCCCCCAGGTCCTCTGAGAGCCTCAGGCATGACCAGAGTCCACTACATTTTTATTCTGTCCTAGAAGCACATTAGAAACGTCTGGTTTCCCTGTAGTGAAACTGAGGTGATGTTTATTTTAAATTACATGGGTTTTGTGATTTGAAAATAAGGCCTTTTGAACTTCTTTCAGGTACTATCACTGTGTAGGTTGGGTAGAAGTAATTTTTCCATATCCAGAAGTGATCCCACAGGAGTTTGAGCTGCTAATCAGTACTAGGGACTATTACTAGGAAAGAGTCCTTTTTCAGTGATCCTAAACTAGCTTTTTCAGTGCAAGATGAAGGTCAGACTTAATCTCAGTACAGGAAGGTGGGGGAGGGAGGTGCCAGAGGCTGGGGAGCGGCCTGAGCTGGCATTGCTAACCTCCACTCTGTTAGAACAGCTGCCAAGTGGCCTGCGTGCTGCTTCCTGTGTGCCTTTAGCTTTCAGTTTCTGAAGTGACATACCTGTGAGTGACTGATCTGTAACTTGGGGTTCATAACATCTGTGTGTTATGGCTGGATTTTCAGGTTTGACCGCCCCAGAGCATGTGCCATTTTGGGGATAGATGTATCTGTTTGGAAACTCTGTAAGTGTCAGAAGATTCCCTCCCTGACACTAGGAGTGTGGTTGGGGAGAGACCCTAATGTGAAGGGTTCAAAGAAAAATGAGTATAAAGAGCATTTTAGACATAACTTCATGAGTCCCATTCATCCCCATTTCCATTGATTTGCTGGCCTCTCTAGGAACAAACAGGTGAAGGCATTCTGGATTTGGTAAGTGTTTCTCACTGGGCTTCCAAGAAACCCAAAACACCTGTGAGCCTTTTGTGAGCATCCTGTATCTGAAACCCCTGAAGTACACTGAGGTTAATACCACTTAGTGGCTTCAGGTGCAAAGTCCCTAGCCCCGTGTGGTGCCCTCCACCAGAATGTCACCCCACCCCTCAGCAGGGGTGTATAAGAGACACAGGTGGCCTGTTCAGGTGCCCAAGTGGCTTTTATGCTAGGAGGATGTCAGCTTCCTCCTGAGAGTGCAGCTGACAGGAAGTGGAGCTGGAAAGAGAACCAGCAAGCCCTGGTTCCACACTGGTGCTCACAAGGAGGCAGGCATGAGAATAGCATTTGGGACCTACCTTCTCCACAAACACTAATATAAAGCTTTAGCCATCTGAGCAGGTAACTTTAACTTATTCTGACTTCCAGAAACAGAAACATGAGTTTCTAAACCAGGGGTGTTTGTAAAAGAGCTCTAAATAGTTAATTGGCTTTAAAAATAAGCACTTAAACTAGCTTTTATTTACTAAATATTTCTTAGATCACATAAACTGGAAGAACATACGGGTTTTAGTTTGTTTTAATTAAAACAGGTATGTGTTCAGAGTTGACAGCATTATATACATACAACTTCTTTCTCCCTGGGTTTACCAGGCAAATAACTGTTTTTAGTCATGAAAATTTCTTAAGATCTTAAGTGAACAAATATGTAGTGGACATAGTCTGTCCATTTCTCACTGAGGAGGAGCTTTTCCCTAGCAACTGCTGATTTTGTAGCAAAGAAATTACTGTGATCCTCACATTGCCAACAGGACCTATTAGAAAACTGCAACCTATTTTCTGTTCCCAGGAACATCTTCCCCGGGTGAAGAGCTTATGCTGAACAAGAATATGACCTGATGTCTGCCTTCCTTCATGATCTACCTTCTAGAGACTCTCTGTTGGAAAATGAATTAACCACAGGGCTCCCTTTTCCAGTACTGCTCACCAAGTTCTGAGCAGCTAAACTTAAAGGCAGCCAGCCCTGGATTCCTCTGGCCCAGGGTAAAGGACTCCCCAGATCTGAACGGACTGCCAAAGCCACTGTGATCTTGCATCCAGAAGCAGATGACACCGGACCAGTCCCATATGACTTAAAGCTTGATTTCCAACTTTGTTCGTCACCATGAAAATCACCATGGTGGATTAATCAGACTCTTCCACTTACCTGTTTTTCCCTCCTCTATGCCCTTTTCTGTTGCTCCTTAACCTGGGAAGGAAATGCCCTTGTTCATTTCTCCCCAGTGGCTGCCGAGGGAGGTAATGTTGCTGGGTTTCTCTTTTCAGTTAGAGATCCTCTAGTTCTGTCACTAATATCACTGTGAATACCTAGGTTCCCTTTGAAAATGTCAGCTACAGAGCTAAGTGTTTGCAGTCAGGCTACCCAGGGCTTTTTTTCGTTTTTGTGAGGCATTTACAACAACTCTATCTCAGGCTAGGAGATCACCTCCCCAATGCACCAAAAAAAACCCTAACTGACCACTGGCTTGAATGGGCAAATGTACCAATCTAGGAGAGCCAATCTGTCAGCAAGGCTGTGGTTTGTGCCCTGACAGGACTTCCCCTTCAGATAGTGGTCCCCTCTGCTTGGCCTGTGGATGCTTAGATGACTGGTATGTCATGTATGTTAGGGCAGTGCCTCTAACTTTCCACAACCAAACCAACACCTCACTGGGAACTCCCCTGAATTGACAGCCTCAAGTTAGATTACATACCAGGTTTTCTTAATTCAGGATTTAACTCCTTTGGCAGAGCCCTGCTTCTCTGCTAGGAGCATGTGCGAATTGGACTGGGATCAGAACCCCTCTTAAACCCTGGGAAACATAAGGCCTCAGTAGCCCAACAGAAATCCCTAGACTCCAGCTGGAGTTGTCCTCAGTTCTCTTAGCTGAATGAGGTGTCTGCAGTCACCACCACTTGTTGGATTAACACTCCTGGGGAAGTTGAGGTCCAAGAACAAACCCATTGTTTATAAAAGTTGGTCACGAGTCCAGTTTGACGCACCTTGGAATTTTGATTTATTCAGCTGTTTACCAGCAGGATTGGGCCCTGGTTTAAATCTGTATTATAATTTGGTCTTTGCTCTTTGTCATTTTATTTTGTGTTCTGATTTTTTAAAGTACTCAGGTGATGTCTGTCTATCCTTTGTAAAAATATACCTATGACATACCTTTTTGAAGCTTTGGGCAACATCAGTCTGACAGAACCCTTGGCACAGTCTCTCTGCCCTGACCCTTTAACAAGTTGCTCAAATGTGGCCTTTTGGTTGCTGCTACTCCCCCAAAGCTTCTCTTACCCTGAAAAAAGGTTCATTTACTGCACCATAAAGAAAAATAGACAAAATGGTTAATGAGTGAAAAGGCAAAGTCCATGCAGACTAGACAAATGCCTAGCAATGTATTGAGTGGTTAGTGCCTCCTAACAGACTTGAGCTCTTAGTCAAGTAGAGACCTTATAGGAATTTACAGCACTTCTCAGAAATCAGCAGAGATGACCAGCCAGGTTTTTGTTCAAGCCATCTCTGGACTTCCTTGTTCTAACTCAGCTCCCCTGATCCAGATAATGCAGAACTGGGCTTTGAGGGCTGTGTACAACATCTTTCATCAAGAAAGACCACTCCTGAACAATGTGGCTGATTGAGAGTGGGGAAGGTGGACCCAGAGGATATAACACACAGAATCTTATGCATGTACCTCAGAAAAATGGATTTGCTAAAAGACTGATTTCCCATAAATGCCTGATTTTCAGAAAAAGACCAAGACTTCCTGACCAGTAAACATCTATCTGCCAAGCATCTCTTCTATCCTCAAGCCAGTGAACTTAGTGTTTGGATTGGCTGGACAGCACCCTATTTGCACACCTTGCTTATAAATATAGCCTACTCCACACACTTAACTGGACTTACCTGTGGCATGCATTTCCCAAACTGCAATTCCTTTTCTATTACCAAATAAACTCAATTTCTGGCCATTTGAGCTTACTTCAGTTTACCCCTTACTTAGGTTGACAGCCATTATGGGGATTGTTCCAGTTAGACCACTTGGTTCATTTAACTGCACTTGAAAGCAGGGGCTCCCAAATCAAACAGCAGGATACCTGTGTTTGCTGGCCGGCAGAAGCCTCCAAGATGTCCAGATAGCTATTGCAAAAAGCTAATGAAAACGATATAAGCAGTAGGTAAGACAGACATGATTCCTATGTTTCCGTCTCCTCGTCCTAAGCACTCACGGTCTGCTGATCCATATGAATTTCCTTTCCACGCTGAAGAGATTACCCAACTGTAAACAAAGGCCTGTCAGTGGCCTTACAGACGTCCCCAATCTATCCCTGAAGGAGGGCTTCCCTCAGAGCTGATGGGACTGAGGGATTCTTCTATAACTACTCCCACTTATTCCCTTAAACAGCCAAAGGGAAACTAAAATGAAAACAGGAAGCCTTGCCAAACTGGCAGATACTGGGGCTATACTGTTTAAGCTCGACTCACTTTGGAGCCTATAGATAGGATCCTGGGAAAACCGGCAGAAGCTGGTGAAGGCTGAGCGTCCTTACGAGAGCCGGCTTTCCAGCACCCAGTCGAGAGAGGCAGGCAGAATTTCAAGTTGCCCCCAGACGGGCTGGTTATCGGCATTTTCCTCTCTCTCTTTCCATTTGCACCTTTGAGGATACACCTCTTACATCTCTATGGAGTCATCCAGTACTGCCAGGAATATTTGTGCCTGTCCCAGCTAAAACTTGACAAGAGAGTTGAAAGGATTTTTAAGTAGCTGTATGGTCAGAAGTTGGCCATACTGGAAGCTGATATTCAGAACCTGATAAACTATTACCTGGGGGTGTGGGGGAGGATCCGGGGGGAATCCCCAGAACATTCCAAAGACTAATAGCTGTAAATCTAGAGCACAGCAATCTCTTGATTTCTGTGTTTTAGTTGACCATCTTGTCCCTGATAGCAGCAAATGGAAGATAATGTCATTGGACGGGTGGGTCAGCCTATGGTGGTACTCAGGAAGCAACCTGATTTTTGTAGCAAGTGAAAATAACTGTCCTGGCCTCACAGGCCGAGTCTCTAGCAGAAGAAACACAGCTCTGCAAGCAATTCAGAGCCCACCTATCCACCTATCCTGCTTGCAGCAATCACAGTAACCTCCCTGGTGTGCTGTATTCTCTCAGCAGCTGCAAACCACCAAGCAAGTGATCGCCCTCAGAATGTCAGGAAAGGAACAGAGGAAACGGCCAACTTAACGGACGGGAACCCAGCATCTTGAGCTATGACCACCACACACAGACTCAGTAACTGCAAGAATTCCATAACTTTAGCTGGAAGTAACGCTGATGCCTTCACTGTCTATCACCTCTCAGGCTGAGAGTCTGATCAAAAGGGGAGAATTTAAAAAATGAGAGAACAGGCCCAAAATAGAGTCCCTTCTGCTAAACCCCACACCACCAAACGAAGACATAAGTGATACTTTTGGCTCTCTCAGAAATGGCATCTTCACCCAGTCAATCAGGAATCGATCATCTGGCTAGCACCAGTTAGGGCATCTGCCTGACAGACCCCTGCCACCTCCTGAAGGAAGTGACCTCTCAATAGCCAGCCTGCTGCTTTGCCTAGTCTGACCTTGTTCCCCTCTGTGCATAAAGGTGTCCATTTTGTATAGCTCCTTCAGGGCTCCTTTTTGTCTTTTAGATTAATTCTTGAATAAAGCCATTGAGATCTTCCAAATTTACTCAGTTGAATTTTGTTTAACACCATCTTCTCAAAGGTTATGCCCTTGCTTTCCTATCCTCCACCTGCCAACTCAGGGACCTGCAGTAACAACTGTGGCAAGTCCCCTAAGTGTTCAGGATCCTCTTCCATCTAGCTCCAAGCCTGCAGCAAAACGACTCTGCTGTTCTCCAAACAAACCTGCCTGGTTCTGCATTTGTTTTGCCTTCGGCACTGCCTCTCTTAGCTTCTTCCACCTAATCCCCTCCTCCTACCCCAGACCTTTGAAGTCAGAAGTGACCCCTCTGCCCTGGGAACCCTTTAAGTCCTTTGCTGGAGGCCCCAGAGCATGTGACACACAGTGCTGTGACTTCATACACCCCCTCTACGGGTCCTGATTTTCAAATTGTTGATCTGGATTGGAACTCTGAGAACTCCGATTTCTGGAATGGTTCCTGGAATATAGTCAAGTCAATCTTTTGATTGAACAAACTTACAACTTTTTATCCACTTCTGACCAATATCCTTTTACTTAACCCTTGAAGGGATGTTTAATTTCAATATCTTGTCTCCCAGTTAGATTTTGATCCCTGAGGACAGGGACCAGACCACGTGTTAATATTTTATGCCCACTACAGCATGGCTTCACAAACTGCCACGTTTTGACTCACCCGGGGGTCTTGTTGAAATGCAGATCAAGCAGTGGGTCAGGAGTCTGGCTTCTGACAAGCTCCCAGCAGTGGAGATGGCTGCTGCTCATCTCTGGACCACATTTGGGAAAGCAGTACCCTACAGCCCCCGGTGGAATACCCAGCTGGCCCTTAAGAATGCGGGATGAGTCATGGGTGACTGGCAGGTGATTCTGGATCAGCTCCAGCTGCCCTTGGTGCTTTGAAATGTAAACTGCGTGGTGCCTTTGGTTTCCTTGATGTTGATTACTAACCCAGTAAAAGCTTCTCCAAGTATGTGTATTACATTGCCCCTGGGAAGGTCTAAAACATACTCTGAGGTATTTTCTGGGAAGGAGCACTGGGAATATCTAACATCTGATGAGAAAACATACGTATAAGCACATAGTTCTATGTGTATCTAGAAGTAAGACAAAAATAATGGTTTCCACACACCATTCAGGTGCTTCCTTCTGGAAATTATGATGTGGGCAAGAGCAACACACAGGCGGGAGCAGGGAGGGGAGTGTTGTGAGGACCAGACGGCCCTTACGGTACCTCTATTCATCAGTGCTCTGGTGAGGTGGAGACTCACACCCATCCAGAATGGGCGAGTGTTCTGTTGCTTCTCTGAACAAAGGAAAGCAGAAGAAGGAAGAGAAGAGAGGCCACGTTAAAGAGAGGAACAGACACAGACATGATTAGTAGCTTATTAATACATTGGAAAGATAGCTGACTCTGTATACCCAAGAGTTAGTGACAAATACATAAGCCATGCAGAGCTTTGAACCTGCATGCGTAAGCCAAAGGCCCTCTAGTTTTGTTAGAAGGTAGGCTTTGGCACTTTCCCCATTTCTCATTTTTTATCACAGAGAACAGTTATTGGTTGTTAATTATAATAACACACAAACTGTTAAGAGCATTTACTTTAGGGGACCAAATTATCTTTTTGTTCCAAAACCAGTTCAAGTGTGTAGGCTTGTGAGGGGTGCTTGTGAATTGCAGAGCCTACTGTCAATCAAAGAGCAATCCTATATGTGCATCAGATGAGACTGGGCATGACCCAGGAAATTTGGAGGATCCAGAGAGAGAGCCCGAAATCTGAAGTTCTTTACCCAAGTGAGATGGTGCCATATATACAGAGGCTCTGTCTGTCATGAATTACTTTTCGTGGAACTCTCAGGCCCCAGGCCTTGCAGCAGCTGCCTGATCACACAAACCAGAGGTGAGGTATGTTAGGGAGCATTTTGAAGATCTCTAATTAAAGGACAGAGGGTAGCTGCTGCCCAAAGTCAAAGAAGTGGGTGTGGACACAGGAAGACTGTCCTGGGAACAGCAGTTTCTCTGGGTTGCTAAGAAGGAAAATGCAGGATGGGGTATTCATTGATTGTCTGACTTGAGTTCACATCAGAATCCCCTGCAGGGCTTAAAACAAGAGGCTGGGCCTCACCCCCCGAGTTTCTGATTCACTAGGTCATGGATGGGCCCGAAATCTGCATTTCTAACAAGATACTGGGTTATGCTCACACTGCTGGTCTGGGGATAGCATTTTTAAGAACCACTGGCCTACTGGAAAAAGACAAGGCTTTAGGGTCCAGAGTGTAGGGGTCTTAAAAGTACAGCTGCACCCAGACATGTGACTTTGGGCAAGGCACTGATGTTCTCTGAGCCTCATCTACAAAACTACAAGATCTGTGTATTCCCCAAGCAAGCTTACAGTGAAGATTTTGTGAACTGATGTTAGCAGAAGCTCCCAGCCTTGGGTAAACAGCAAGCACTTAATAAATGTTAGCACCTCTTCTCTTCTGTCAAATACTAAGGCCCCATAAAACCTGGTTTAAAATCACTATAGATAAATTGGTAGAAACAAAAAAATGTCTGCCAGCATGACAGCCTGAAATGCAGCCCATGGGGCCAAGTCTGGGCTTGTTGTTCTCTGATGACTCAGTTCAGACAGCTGCCAAATTTTTCCAGATGTCTCCACTGACACTCCACTAAACTAGGAATCGAATAAAGCTGGGTGGAGGAATCCCTCACACCTCTGACAGGCACTGATAGGATGTACCATCCACCTTTAGAGGCAATGTCCTCTCGACAGAAGAGGCAGGAGTTGTGAGGAAAGCAGGCTGTGTCTATCTGCTGGCTTCAGGAGGTAAAACACCCTGAGATTATGATGCTCTATGCCTGCAGGTAAGGCTTTGTAAGAATCTGACCTGTGGGGCTATTATTCTGCTGTAGGCCACTCCTCAAAGGTCTCAAGGTATCGGATCCCTTTTGTGACTGACAACACCTGGTTGGCCAGGACAAGATGGGAGCTGAGCCTCCTGCCTTTTCCTTAAGATGCATCCTGATTAAGAAGACGCACCACGAGGGAGGCATGGCGTGTGCTTATATCATCTCATCCTCCCTTCCGCCTTGCCTGGCATTTTGAAATCAGCCTGCCTGGTGTAATCAGAACCCAAATCAAATGGTGTATGGGATTCTAGCCAAAGAAATGAACTTTGACTCCTGGTATCACCTCCCCACATTCCCAGAACCACTGCCAACTTCAAAAGAGGAGGATTCCCCTGGCTAATGGCTAATGGGAAGGTGACGTGGAAGGAGGCAGCATATGGGGCTTCTCTGGAAAGAAACTCCAACAAAGAAGAACACGCACCATTCTGCTGATTAACCCTTCTGTCTAGGGTCTCACACTTACTACTACTCTCTTCCTGGCTCTCATGGAATGCTCGAGCTTATTCTAGAAGCAGGCAGAAGAGGATTAAAGGTCTAAAAGGGCCACTCACCCAGTCTGCCAGGTTAGGATGTGGTGGGGGCTGCTTGGGGGTGTTGCTCCAATTTCACTGGACGGCGTTGAGCTTCTCTGGCTCTGAGGTAAGGCAGCTGTGTGCAGGCGGCACAGAAAAGACTGGTCAGACAGGTCACGTGAAGGCGCTTCTTTCCAGAGATGCTGGAGACGACCCCTTGGCAGGGTCAATGGGGGGAAGCATCCACCCCTTTCCCCACACCTGGCCAATTACATTTTCTCCCCAAACCATATAGCTCCAATTCCAAGTCAAACTGGGCATGGGATCCTAGGTTCCCACTTAGCTGAGGGAAAGCAGCTCCCTCCACAGCAACCCAAGTCCCCTGAGGGAGATGGGGCAGGGTGGGGGCAGGACGCCTGTGTGCACAACAGGGAGCCACCAGTGGGGAAGCTGTGCTCTTCCTTAGGAATAGAGCACCTCCAGAAAGGCCCTCAGAGCGTGCCCCCTTTGTGTCCCATGCTCACAATGAACCACTCTGGGACACTACTAAGGGGGCAGGGCTTTTAATAGCTCCTTCCAATCTGACTACTAAGGGTTTATTAATGTGGGCAACATTTTTCTAGCTGGGAAAATTTAGGAAGTAAATCCGACTTAAATGCATCCTTTGCTTTCTTGGGAATGTAATCTTTTCCATCAGTAAACCTCAGATATAGCTCCTTAGAATTTTTACTCTAAAATACGTTTGAAAAGTAAAGAGCAATCCTATATGTGCATCAGATGAGACTGGGCATGACCCAGGAAATTTGGAGGATCCAGAGAGAGAGCCCGAAATCTGAAGTTCTTTACCCAAGTGAGATGGTGCCATATATACAGAGGCTCTGTCTGTCATGAATTACTTTTCGTGGAACTCTCAGGCCCCAGGCCTTGCAGCAGCTGCCTGATCACACAAACCAGAGATGAGGTATGTTAGGGAGCATTTTGAAGATCTCTAATTAAAGGACAGAGGGTAGCTGCTGCCCAAAGTCAAAGAAGTGGGTGTGGACACAGGAAGACTGTCCTGGGAACAGCAGTTTCTCTGGGTTGCTAAGAAGGAAAATGCAGGATGGGGTATTCATTGATTGTCTGACTTGAGTTCACATCAGAATCCCCTGCAGGGCTTAAAACAAGAGGCTGGGCCTCACCCCCCGAGTTTCTGATTCACTAGGTCATGGATGGGCCCGAAATCTGCATTTCTAACAAGATACTGGGTTATGCTCACACTGCTGGTCTGGGGATAGCATTTTTAAGAACCACTGGCCTACTGGAAAAAGACAAGGCTTTAGGGTCCAGAGTGTAGGGGTCTTAAAAGTACAGCTGCACCCAGACATGTGACTTTGGGCAAGGCACTGATGTTCTCTGAGCCTCATCTACAAAACTACAAGATCTGTGTATTCCCCAAGCAAGCTTACAGTGAAGGTTTTGTGAACTGATGTTAGCAGAAGCTCCCAGCCTTGGGTAAACAGCAAGCACTTAATAAATGTTAGCACCTCTTCTCTTCTGTCAAATACTAAGGCCCCATAAAACCTGGTTTAAAATCACTATAGATAAATTGGTAGAAACAAAA